GAAACTTGTAGCATCTGTTTCATTACACTGGTGCCTAGATAGGCGAATCGGATATAATATGCTATAATTAACTTGGTCACTAATTTAACACACTCATTTGCAAGTAAAAAAAAAAACGTTTTTTTGTGTTTATTTTTGAAGACGCATTTTAATTAATAATCAAATAAAATAGATATAAAATTACAGAATTTTGTGCGCAATATAATTGTGTGATTAATTTTGAAAAATTTTGGTTTTCCTTGAACCCGTAGCCGGTCTCCAAGAGCACCTCCGCAAAAAGGTGACTGGCTAAATATAGGTGCATTTCTCCAAACTTCAGGGATGTTTTCCGCCGCAGCAACAACAACAACAGGTTATGATCGAAGAATAGAAGTTTGATTTTTGGCAAAATAGCGGCTCCAAAAAAGTCGTTTTTTTGTGAAAAAATTTACATTTGGTAGTGGTTTCAAAAATCAAAATTATTGTCAAAAATCTTTCTCCTTTGATCGTTACCTGATAAATATATCTAAGAAGGTCGTGTAAAAATTTTAAGTCGATCTGTCTCGCCCTTTTTTAGTAAAACTTACATTTGTATTAAAATTGATAGTTTTATTCAGGGTTACTAATAATGCTTAAAGGAAATAATTGAATTAATATTTATATAATTTTTTTTTGTAATTTTGAAAATCGTAATTAAAAATAACTTTTATCCCAAAGATAGGGTTAAAAAATTAGAATAAATTTTGAATCCCAACCGGTTTGACCAAAAAATCGCATTAATAATTAGTCACCAAAATCAGAATCGAAAATTAATGAAAATTAGATTTTCAGTTATTTTTGAATTAAAATATTCGCAACCCTGGTTATATTCCTGTGGCTAGTAGCCATACATAATAGCGGTGTTATTAATTTTACAGCATTTCTATAATATACATATATAATATAAGTATATAACAAATAGTGTATGTTTTTGTTGTTTTTTTTTGTATGTAATGTACTGTTTGACTCTCTTTCCCTTTCCCCTTTTGCCTGCTTATAATAAAGAAAATATTTACTTTGCTCAGGTGGGCCGTGCATTTTCATTTAACAAAACTCCCTCGAAACTGAAACGAGCCGTCTCCACGATGATGACACCACCTTTTGGCAGCACAAACTCACTAACGCCCGCCTCGCAACTGGCGCAAATGCGTTTGGCCAGTTGTGCAAATATACACGTGAGTAGCGCACATAATCAGCTGTTATGCAAGTGATTAACTTCTATTATATATAATTTTTTCTATATTTTCCTCACAGGAGGCGGTCGATGAGGAGGGTAACCGCAGCAGTTCACCTTCAGCTCAATCGGAAATATTGCTGCCACCACTTTCCGTACAGCCGATGCGCAAAAATAAGTCCTCGACACTGGGTGTTGTTGGTCGTCTTTAAAAATTTCAACTGTTGAGCCGGTGAAATGAATAAATAAACTGTTTCGAATTTGTTTACAAAACTGCAACAGCGTTTGAGGAATGTTATTGAACAGCGGCCGTTGTTTGCTACTCGGTTATTTGCTAAGCATTATCGTATATTCAGTGCTAACTCGAACAAAATTTATACTCGCTTTGGAAAACCTAACCTATAGTTGGCTGTCAGTGTTCGACTGCAGGCGCTGCATTCTAAGCAAACTCAAACTTTTGAAAAATTTCTCAATGATTGCAACAGCAGCTGTGTAACGTTTCACCATCATCAGCTTATACGAAGCGTTACTTTAGTTCTGAAGAATGTCATGTGATGTTTATAATGGGTGGACTATGCCCTTTCGTATGTGTTTTTTATGAAACAAAAAATCAAAAGCAACAATTATCTGTTAAATATGCTCATTTTGGTACGATGTCATCGTGTATGATTTCCAACCGAAATGTAATGAATTAAAAAAAATATATATATTTATATAGCAAGCGTGTTGCAACATTTCAAAAAAATGTCATACATCCGCATATAAATATAAGATTTTCACGCGAAATTGTCTGTAGCTTTTAATAGCATATGTATGTATGTATTTTTCGTGTTTGACCTTGTAAATATATATGTATATGTATATACGTCAGCGAATATCGTGTTCGGTTATAATTTCTTTTTAAGGATTGCGCAAAACCCTCCATCATCTTATTTTAATCTAATTTTAACAATAATACATATAACATAAATTAATTTATATGATTACGAAATATATATCTACCGTAATATTCTACACATTAATAACTTATTCGATTTTTTAATTTAATTTTTAATTTTATTCTTCAACATTGTTCACTCTCTCGAAACTTTCTGTTGCATGTGCGTAAATGTTTTACTTGAAGTAAACGAAAGGAAATATTGAATAATGTAATTGTCAAAGAGATTTTCTAATAATAAAACATAAACAATAATATACATATATATACCTATATATAATTAATGTATTTAATTATAGTGACTATGCTGTAATATGCGCATATTTGAATGAATGATTGATTCGCTTAACGAGTATGGTAATATTTGTATAAGCCTACATTATTTACAAATACACAAATCTCTTGAAAGCATAAAACATTTTACAATAAAATATAACTATCTATTGTAGTTAAGTGAAAAAGCGTTGAAATATCTGTTGAAATATATAGTATAAATTTGTAGGTAAGTATACGAAAGCTGAAATTTCTTAATTTTGTATATTAGTGTTATAAGAATACAATTTTTTAGCGAACTTATACGAGAGGCCGCATATTTAAGGGGCAGATGTGAAATTAAAAAAAAAAACTAATTTGTTCTTTTCTATATTTCGATAGGTTATATCTTTAAAAATATCAATATCAAAAATTTGTCATGGATATCTTAAATAGTTTTTGAATTACAGCCTTCTAAACTGTGCTGCCCAGTTTAATCAGCTCCACTAGTTTATCTTTAAACGCGTTTTTCTCAATACTACATTTTTTAAATATGCATGAACGATTAATCGGAGTCAAATGATCCGACCACTATCAAATCTTTTCTACGAAAACCAAAACGACCAAAACTTTAGTTAAAATTCAACTTACAACGCCACCATTTTGTAAATTATTAATTTTTTTCGACCGAAGACCACTACGGACAATTTCTTCTAGTAGAGAATGTTTATACCCTGAACAGGGTATATCCAGTTTGCTACGAGATTTGTAACACCTAAAAGGAAACGTCGGACACCCTTTAAAATATATCCTTGTTGGTCTTGCCTATATGTGTATACGCGAACTACTCTCTTAGTTTTTGAGATATCGCCCTAAGATTATGCTCACATCATTTACTCCTCAAAAAGCTGCTCATTTGTCGGATGCAATTTCCGAAGAAGCTGTTGATATTGGACCACTATAGCATATAGCGGCCATACAAACTGAAAGCTTGTATGGAAAACTTTTTCATTTGACGAAATAAATTCACAAAATTTGGCATATTGTCTCAAGCAATGATGTAATCTCCGAAAAAATGTTCTGAATGGATAATTATAGCATATAGCTGCCATACAAAGAGAACGATCGGAATAAAGTGCTAGTATTGACAACTATTTCATTTGAAGAGATATCCTCACGAAATTTTGCATGGGTTATTGTCCAAGGCAACAGTGTGAACACCGAAGAAATTGTTTAGATCGGAACACTATAGCATATAGCTGCCATACAAAGTTATACTTATTTATAGCTTCCTTGCAATTGAAGTCAACTTTTTCTTACTTCTGCTAAAACTCCAAGTTTCACCTTCAAGGACTTTATAATCGTCCACGCTTTTGCGCCATATATTTTGATTGTTTTGTTCTTTGTTAGAGGAATTTTCTTCTCACTCGCTATTCAAAACTATATTATATTCGGACAAAACTTTGATTTTCAAAATTGTTATTGCTTTCATTATTTATGCTGGTAATTTGCATAATACAGTGGATGAGTTCGTAGCATAATTCGAGCAATGTGCCCATGGCTACCAAGGAATTGTAAATCGGTGCATTGCCATGGAGGTACAGTACTTTTTCCTTCGCCCGATGGAGCCGGGTTTTCTGCAATTCGCCATCGAATCGATTTAAGAATCCGGCAAAGTATAGACCTGTGACAGTTGGTCGTCGATATAGATCACATCTTGTGAATTCTAGAAAACAGTGGCCTTTCCGGCCCTCAGCCCACCGTGTCAACCGTGTTTTGTCTTTGGTATATACCAGTGGATATATAAGAACCATCGGTATTTTTGAATGCTAAGGATTTTGTCAGGTTATCGTCCATATTAACTTGTGCGTTGTTCATCATAACCTAAGTTTCGACAATCGTCATCGTATATTTTTCTATTTATCTAATATTTACGTACATGCCAACTTTCATAGTCGATCAAAACAAAACTATGTAATACAACCACTTTGATTTAACCTGTAGTGGTTGAATGGTTTGGCTCGCTGTCGTCTGATAAGCTCAACTTACAAATATTTATTACACAAAATTCATTGGCGAGTTTTACAACCGCTAAAGTACGCGATTAATCCCTCAGCGGGATTTCTCAAAACTATTTGTCTAATGTTCTATTATTCTAAAATACATGCTTAGTTTACCAATCCAAAAAAGGCTTCCAAAAGAACTTCAAAAGAAAATTTGTTTTTCAGTGTAATCTAATTAGACCAATTGGCGTTTTATTTAATTTTCAATAATATCTTAGCGTTTAGTAAACGTTTTTAAAACTATGTATCGTATATATACGTATATGTTTATAAATGTATGTATAGCAAAATAAATGCAACTGCGAATTCGTGCAAAAGAAACTGGAAGAGTTTAAGAATGAATATCATAAAATGTATGCTTCTCTTAAAATAACATTTAACATATTAAAAGGCACGGAATTGTACCATCTTATAACAGTACTAAATATAACGTGAAGTACGCACTAAAATTTCAGATTAAAATTTCTTTTAAAAATCGCCGAAATTAAATCAATTTAAATATACTTATAAATATTTACCATTTATGTATATGTATGTATGTGATTTTTTCGATTTCTTTACTAGAAGAAACATTTAATAAATTAAATGCACTAAGTAGAATTGAGGCCGATTTGCGCGTTCCTACACCCAAAGTACTGCGGACGCTTCCTCGTTGGAGAGCGTAGAGAAACGTTGATACTTGTTGGCGTTGCGATAACTGGTTTTCGTTGTTGTATCCCAACGGTGTTGCATGTCGTGTGTGGCTTGCAGTGGTACGCCCAGCACATTGCCGGGATGATTGGCTTTCAAGGTTGAATTACGACTATCGCACGCATATTCGCGCGGTTCGCCACCACACAGCCCAGCAGTGGGCGCAGCGTTGCCATTACCCAAGCTGGCTGTGTCCAATTTAACGCTCGCCAACGATAAACGATTCGGTGTGGATGTGCCGTTCGAAATCATTGTGGAGCACAGCGGTAATCCGATATCCTGAAATGAGCTAATCGAACTGAAGCCACTTTCGTCTTCGGTGGCTGAGCTGAGCGGATGTTGGTGCTGTTTGAATGGCAGCACAATCGGATGGAAGGGATGATGTAGCGTTACATCTTCGTCCGTTTCCACCTTGCCCGATGAAGTCGATGCTGCTGAAGAGGAGGAGGTGGATACCACAGACGAATTGGAGGTGGTGGAATGTACAGAGCTATCAGTGGAACTACGCAACGATAGGCGCGAGTCGCGTATGTTGTTCGCGCGCAGGAAGAGCATATCCGCAGTGGCATTGGCAAGCGAGTTGGTGGCGGCTGGGACGGTGCGGCTGTTGTGCTTGTCCGCAGCAGCTGTGGCATTAACTTTGTTGCTCGCATTGTTTTGAGCAGGTGTAATGTGTGTTGTCGGTATTGTTGCGGGTTTCGCTACTTTCGTGTGTAGTGTATTGTTGCATGCCGACACGCCATTACGATGCTGCGTTAAATCCGGTTGACGTGTAGAGGTGTTGAGCAGATTGTGTATGGTGCGCGAGAGACGAAAAGCTTCCTGGTTGAGTTTTTCCTCAAGATCATCAGCGGCGGCTTGAGCCTTAGACTCGGCACACTTTTTAGGTGAACGGCGCCTGTAGAAGCGGGTGGGCGATAAGTAAATGCAATAATTAATAATAATTACTCTTTTTTATAATATCTAAGTGTTAGCATACCAGGTAAAGTCCTTGAATGTTGTGTACGCAGTGTTGTTGGTTGTGTTAATGGCATCATAACTCCGCTTATCTGCCACTGCTGTGGCCAGACTGCTATGCTTCATGTTGGCGCCACCTGATTTTGCGGCATTGCCATTGTGTATGGCTGATTGCTTGAGGTCTACGATCAGGTTGCTGGTGCTGCGCGTGCGCAAACACGAAGAAGATGTGCCAATTGATTTATCTGCAAAGGCGCCAACACTGCTGGTGCTTTGTTCATGACCTTCGCCAGTGCTGTTGCCATCGTAGACTTGGTAGAGACTCTTGGAACGTGATATTTGTTGCTGTTGTTGTAATTGACGTTGTTGTTGTTTTTGCGTTTGATAACGATCAAGGAAGCGTGCAATCTCTTCGATGACAGCACGATACATTTCATTACTTGTTTCCACCTGCGGAAGCGACATAAAGGAAATGTAAAATATTCGCCAGTAAAAAGACAATGTTGTATAAAAAATGTGTGTGGGTTTTTTTATAATTATACCCGCTGTGCAATATTTAAATAACTTGCGAAAACTTATCAAAATAGTAATAAATGATAAGAATTTGAATTGGTCGAGCTTCATTTAGCCTAGATTATAGCTTCCGATTCAAAAACGGCTGGAAGCAATAGGCGGTTTAGAAACGGCAGTTTAGAAAGTAAAACCCACAAAGCCTTTTCATTTGCTAATGACTGGTAATGCTAAGAAGCTTTCAGGGGCGTTTCAAAGGCCACAGAAGTCGATGCAAACCAAAAGAATCGCAATAGACTGACCCACTAACAAACTAATCTGCTAAGTGTTACAAAATTTTTGCTGAAAAGGCATGTACACAGCCAAAGTGATAACTCATGGCAGATATCTCGAGAATCCGTTGTTTACTCTCGAAGTATGAATGTAAATATAATTATTGTAAACTCATTTTACTCTTGTCAGATACTTTCCTGAATCAGAACTATATTTTCTGATATCTTTGCAGCTCAGGAACTGGTTTGATGCCTATATTGTACTTAATTTACTAAAAAAGTAATTTTTGTAATCGTTTGAAAAAGTACGAACGACCATCCAGCCTAACTTCATTTCATCTATTTACAAACAAAAGAGTGGAAAACAAATTTTTCCACCTAAATAATTCATCGCATGACACATTGATTTAAGCAATCTATAAATTTCCATTTTTTTACGAAAATGTTATTAGCTTCTAATGTTATCCTCCTATTTTTAAGGTAGCAGCTGCAATTGCTTAGGAAAATGACTTAATTTACTGCCAAAAAAGTCCATTAATTTCGAATATTGCTTACATAACGGTCCAAAGATATGTTTAATTGCCAACAGTTATACGTGCACCACAACAACAATAATTTGTAGTGATAAAAACACCAGGCCATGTTGCATGGCGATGTTGCTTAATTTTGAAAAGAGGTTTCGGCTTCACTCTTTGGCAGTTGAAGCTTTAATTAAAGTGACGCTAGGGTGAGGTTGCCATAGAAGAAATCCTCTCTAATTCATTCGTCAGCACAAAAATTGTCGTATTGCTCACGCTTACAATATTCATAAGAATAACATATAAAGGGTACAAGAAAGGAGCAGCTCAGGTTCGCGTCTAATCTTTAAAATTTAGGTTCCAATCAGAATTAATTCTAAATTAATTAATTCAATATTCTGCTTTAAAATTAGGTCTTCCCTAGCAAATCGCATTGAATTTCCATTTGAAGACTTTTATAATGAAATTATCTTCGTAAAGTTTGATGCTTTTAAAGCTAAAAGTACTCAGAATGAGAGGAAGAGAGTATGAGTCTTATTTAAAAGCTAGATAAAAAGAAATATCAGGGAAATAGAGAGAGACTGATAAGAGTATTATTTGAGAAAGGAATTTGAGAAGAGACGAGGAGTCCGGGCTTGTTATAGGCGATTGCAGTTAATATACATATGTGTGACATATGATAGACTATCCAAAATTTATAAATGAATCTTGTCTTAAGATGGTTGGATCGAGAATAAACAGCATTGGGTTTTACAAAACGAGACGCATGAAGCTCTTTAAAGTAAATAGTCCGCTGTTTTCGGTATAACTGAATATAGAACACTCTGGAACGTTATATTTGGAATATGTATATAGAATGATCAGAATTTGTCTGAGAGAAAAATCAGCCGCAGAAGATCAATCAGTTTTCACGATGACAAGGCAAGCTCAACCTTTTTAGGTCAAAACAAAGCGTTTTTGAGCATTCAAAACATGATATGGATGATTCATATGTCATACATTCCTGACTTTTCAACGTATTTAGATAGAATTATCTATATGATTTGGAGATACATTCAAAGAGAGTGGAAAAAGTAATTAAACCTGCATTGAGGTTTTTGCAAATCGTATTGAACCTCATAAGGAAAGTGCTGCTTAAAAATTTACTTTGTCGAACTAAATTATTAAACTATAAACCGTTTTTATAATGTATTAGCGGACAATTATGAGCAAGCCTAATGCTCATAACCGCACTCATATTACCGTGAATACTTGCCAAATAACGAAACTAATGAACTGCTAGTAAATACAAGGCGCACAAAACAAAAAAAAAAACAAAGAACATTAAAAAACACAAAAATCAAACAAAATTGCAGAGGTTGAGGAGGAAACACTTGGTGACCACCCGTTGACTCAATGACTTGGTGGTTTTGCACTTTGTGGGTTGCTGGGTGTCAGTTATTGGTGGCTGCCAGCTGTTGGCAGTTAGACTAAGCATTATTATTGTTTTTATTGGTTGCTTGCTAGTTGGCAAAACGAATAACGCAATTTTCGGAATAATTGCATTTACTAGTCTATACATATTACATATATACTACTTGCATACATATATCCATATAACCATAGTATAAAAGTATACATATGTATACACTTTCGGTTGCACTGCGTTTGAGGTGTGGCTCAGCAGTTGCAGCAGCCGGAATTTGGCAAGTGAATAAAAAAATGGGTAAGGCAAACTGTTTTGAGCCAAGAGAACCTTTAGTAAAAGAAATTGTAGTTAGGTTAAGCATGAAAATAAATATTTGCGAAATTGCTGGAAAAATGCAAGCTGGCGATAATATAAAGTCGAAAATCTTAAAAAGGGGAAAAAATTGGTAGGATTCAAATCAAGTATGTGGTATGTTTACTGTCGCAAAATTTTGACAAGATTGTAGAAATTTTTTTTTTAATGAGAAGCAGTCCGAAATAAAACTGAGATGAAGAAAAATTCAGAACACTTCCTAGTTGAGCTCACATGAATGCTCGTCCTTTAAAGAAAATTTAGAGGAAGATAGAAAAGCTGAGGTCTTTCTACGAGCTGACGGGCCATTTTTTAATCTGTTATTCTTGAACTACTTAATAGATAATGAGACGGAATGATCTAAGTCAATGTTTAGATTTTTTATTTACGCTCTGGGAAAAATTCATTTATTCTAGCTTAATCCGAAAGTGTGCCCGGCATCCTCCATTCCGCAGTATTAACATTCTGACAATTGAGACCATTGTACTGGGTACTAGCAGTCGATTTTTTTAGATATTAAATTGTGTGAGACTTCAGCTAGATTTTAGCTTGAGTTTTCTAGAGTATTTTAATACAATCCAACTCTTTACCTTTTTTTGATAACCTACTATTATTATTATTGGTTGGTTGGTCTGTTCCCACGACAGTCAGGTCTACGTAACCGGAACGGACCCGGATTTATTCCGGCCAAGAACTGCCAACTCGGCAGAACTCTGCCGCTACAACAACAACAACATTATTGGTTGGTTTGTTATATTTCTTCAGAAATGAAGGTACGCGCTGCTCCTGGATTCGATCTGAGCTCATACGAGTATTAATATCAGCAGTTAATTCTAGTAATAATCTTTAATTGTAGCTTTGACGGGTATTAGCATGTCTGCAGGAAAATGTTTAGTACATGAAAGGCTATCTTAAATTCTAATAGCAGTCGCTCAAAGTTGACTGAAAATTTGTAGATCCGTCCATTGCTCAGGTAACATCAAAGCGTACACCACAAAAATGCATGAGATGCATGATTCCGGATTTAGCAAACTTATTTATTATTCTTTTTAAGTGTTAAATCTTATATTTTCTAAAAAGTGGCGAAGCTTGAAAATGTCATTATTTAATGATAATTTTACGAAAAATCTTTAAAATGAGTTTAATCTGGGGTTTCCAGCAGGTAGTTCTATTTCTTGCGACGTATGATAAATTAATGAAACTGCATCAGCTTGTTTGGAATTTTATTAAAGTCCTAGTCTTGCACAGAGATGGCGGATGACTGAGCATTTGGCTTAACCTAAGTACATACATACATGAACACCCACACCTGCGAGTTACTTTAAATTTTCACTTTTTGTGCAAGTAAGATTTGGGTTAATTTCGTTGGCTTGTATTTTGGCTTACTGTAGCAATTTACACATAATTGCTGTGGGAGAAGTTAGTCTGTAAGTTTTGGTGGGAAAGTGTGATTAGGAGTTTGGCTACGACATTAAATTGGCTGACTCATTGGCAGCTGCTGGTTGGTTGGCAAATATTTTCAAGTGAAATCAACAATTTTTTGCTTATCCTAAGTGCAAATTTCTTGTGGTTTTTTGAAACGCAAGCGGGTTACAATCGAATGTATGTTTTTTAGGGAAGATATTATTTATTGGGGCTTAATTAAGAAATTCATTAAAAAGCAAAGTTTCGATCCGCTGAGTTTTAATAAGCGTATCAACTCCTTTACCTAGAGTATGCCATAATGTGTGTAAATTGCATGCATTTTTAGAAAAAGAATAAACCCATCGTTTGGTTTTGAAATCGAGATACAATTTTTTGAGAGATAAAGGATAATGCAGAGTCTTTAGTTATAGAGGCATAGTGTTGGTATCAGAGGGATAGTAGAGGATCGCAACATCTCTTATGGATCGATTCAATACATTTTGGTTAATGTTTTGGGAAAGAAGCGTATCAATGCTAGACTCGTACCAAAAGACCTGAATATTTTTCAAAAATGAAACTGTCCAACATGCTAGGGAATGGCACTCCAAAAATGAGCTGAAACAGGAAAACCCAAAATTCACTGAAGACCCTGAAGGCCTTTCCAGCCGAGGCATACAGCAAGTGTATGGAAAATCTGATTAAGCGTTGGCATGGTTGTCTTACATAGCTCAAAGTGAGCCTATTTTAAAAGCGATAATAAAGATTTGTATTAAAATACATGAAAATGATTTATTTGTTTTTTATTTGCCAGTTAGTAATAGTTATATTATATCTAATAAGAATGTGATTCAATTGTCTGATGCATTTCTCTTTATATTTTTACAAATCACACTAAAAAGAGGTAGAGTACCTTATTACAATTCTCTGAGAGCGCTTATTTTTACATTTTGAGGTAAGTGTTCTTTTTAAAAGTTAATTATGAAAAGT